CATTTTGCTGACTTTCACTGTAGCATTTCTTTGGTTAAGATATATTTGCTTCCCCAGGTCCATCTCTGAAGGTCAGATTGATTCTCCACTTTGTATCTATTTTCCAAGTACGAGGGGAACAGGAAAAGGACAGCACTTTTAGCAGGAAGATGAAACTGTTCTAGAAAAATCCTAAGGAAACTTCTGCTTACACCTCCCTTTCAGAACTGTGGTCCGTAATCATCCTATAAGCTGGCAAGTCTTCTTACTGAAGATGAGCACATTCTAGAGATGAGAAATGGGTAGAGAGACACAAACGAATTCCACGTTCCCGACTGTGGAACTGCACAAGTAATGAAGGTTACAGCACTGTTTTGGAGAAGGAATCATACAGGGAGCCACATCAACTCACTCTCCTCTGGCTCCTTTAACTTTAAAGCACAATATGAATGCTGATTCTCAGAACACAGGCTTTGAAGACCACTGGTGTCCTGTGAACGTTCTCCAAATAAACCTCAGTCATTGCCGCAGGCATAAAAATCTGCAGGAAATCAAAGCCCTTGATTATAGAACCACTGCTGGCCAGGGTCTCTATAGCTGCCACCTTTTCCTAGCTATTCAAGACCTTTAAGACATTTTAAGGTAAAAATTAGCCAACAAATTATAAGTTTAAGAGAGAACAGATTCAAACTTACACAAGCAGAGTAAAAAAATGAGCCAAGATTTCACAGCCTGAAAACATTTAGACTAAGCATAATAGAACTACTATAACCTCTTACAATTCATAAACACTTAGCATGAATCTGTTAAAGTGCAATACAACCCCTAGAAACATACTGTATGATTTCTCAAAAGCAATGGCTACTTAATGATATATAAAGTACAATAACACACCAAAGAAATCCCACACAATGAGAATATAATTAGCAGCAGGTTATTCAGACTAAATACAAATCTGCCTTAACAATTTCCATGTTTGTTTTCAACTTTGCTTCATAAAGCCACTGATAATTGGATAATTAAGGCTTCTTTCAAGCATGGATTTCCAACATTAAAGACTGCATTGTCAGTGCAGGGATGTCAGGGAGAAGGGTAACTCAGTGGCAGAGTACTTGCCTAATCCTCAGGATCATTAAAAAAATTCTAAATATTTTTATAAAGAAATGAAAAAGCCACAGACTGCACTGTTTGCCTTAAGTTCATACAGCACAAGTAAAAGGCAGCCAGCTGCG